AGGAAATATGTTCTTCCACACAACTTTTCACATCTAAGCTGTTGTGTGCGATGCAAATTTTCACCAGTGTCTCAGTGTATTTGCAAGTCCTATGAGCAGCTGGCTGAGAGCACAAATGAAGGACAGGAAGTTTGAGTGGGTTGCATGCATCTTGGTGCAAACAAACAATCCATGCTGTTTATACTATTAGTTGTGCAGGGATATATTAAGACACGACAACCAATCAATCAAACCGAGAGCATCACTGACACAATTATATCACCTGTGAAAAGCAGATGAATGTGTAATATCACTTAACAACCAAAAAGGCCTCGCAATTAAGCGTTTGCAGTGAATATGCGATCATACCACCAATATAATATTCATAAATAATACGAATTTTACAATGCCTGTGTACAGTGTAATTAATTATCAAGGCTCCTTACTAATAATGATGTGATATACAGCACACATCTTGCAGTTCTCCAGGGGAGGCCTATTATTCATGCACAAATGCATTGAACAGCCATGAGAGAAGAGCCGAGCGCTCCCACAAGATAGACGGCAGAGATGGATCTGAGCTGCTCCAAGAGAACAGGGATGTTTATAGTAATAATTATAGCAAGACTGATTTAGTGCCTGCTTTATTTGATGCCGATCCACCACCACACAGAGAACAGAGGAAACGGAATAAGACAGAACAGGGAGGCAGAAAGGTGTAATGGCATGCTTTAACGTTACTGTATGACTAATGCAGGAGTTACTGCTGTCTCCAGACAGCTGCGTCTATGTTTTCTTGCAAGTGCATCAGTATTCCATATTTCATGATGCACATCACAGCAGTCCACGTTACCCCTGAAGTCAGTGTTCCCTTTTCCGCGAGCATGACGGTTCGCATGACATACATTTCGTCATAGGTGGGTGTACGTGAGGCTCTTGCGAGAATGCCTGTGTTCAACAATTGGTTGTGTCTGACTGCACGTGTTGGTGCATCAGAAAAATGGACTCTATTTGAAGAGAGGCCGTGTGAGGAGGTCTTACTCTCACCTCACCTCAGCAATTCAGACAAAGAAACAGCGACAAAGCAGCTATTCTTCTGTTGGTGTGGATGTTGCCATTTTGATTTGATTCATAGTGCACATGGGACATACAGACGCTGATCTACTGTAGATGTTCTTTGATGTCCTTATTTAATGTTATATAAAACAACGTTCATTCTAAAAGTTCTACGTTCGACTTGTCATTTATTATTTATTTACAAGTCTGCCAAAAAAATAAAAAGTTGTCAATGTTATTAAAATCAAACTTATTATTTAGGTTGTTAAATTGCCATTGCACAGTGTTTTAATTCTCACATGACAATCTCTGTATTCATGCAACCTAACATGATCACTCACAAGTCAGCCGAATCAACAGGGGAATCTTTCACATCAGTTTTTATCCATCTTTCCATTAGCTGATGTTTTAACAAGGGATTCTCGTATTTCACGTGTAAGATAACTTCAAATCACGTGTCTTACACGAGTTTTACACATGTATGTTTCATGTGTTTTAAAATCGCATTCTGTTTGTAAGCTGTGTATTTGTACTCTGTACATCGCTGAATGTAATGTTTGCAATGCTCTGCTAAGACCGGAAAGTGGGTACAAAAAGTTCATTAGGTTTGAGTCTCCTGAGTACATTTTAAATTGGTGTTCAAGGATATATTGCACAGTGAAACTTGGATAAATAAGACCTGCGGTGAAACTTGGTCTCAGACTATATTGATTAACCACAGCATGGTTTACGTGCTTGTTTGTTTGGTTTTACAAGAACAAACAAGCTATAAGCTATATAGGCCATAAATAATGAAGTGTTTTAGGGTATAATGAAATGCGGGGAGCAGCCCTTCAGCAAAGACGACCAGAGTGTGAATTTTGAATTTAGGTCGCTGCAGTTGGAGGTGTTTAACAACTGTAAGGTGCTATTTTAGAAATGCATACAATATATACATACACAATCAGTGGTATATGCTGGGCTGGTATATTATAAAAATATGCTTTTCCTTGTCAAATAAACAAACAATTTCAAACAATATTTCAGCTTTCAAGTTAAGATGTCAGCTGCCATTTCAAGTAAAGTTTACTCACATTTTTAAGGCAGCAATCGCACTGAAGTTTTCAAAATTAAGTGTTTTGACATCCCCTCATGAGAGAGAGAGTAAAGAGTCTGTTCTTCATTTGATTCGACTTCAACTTACAACTGAAACTGCTGAGGCTAATTTGTAAGAGAGTCATTACAAAGACAAAAGGCAACACTGGCTTTACTCATTAACTGTCTTCTTAGGAACTAATTTCAAAACAAAATATTTTTCATAATCATTAAAAGAAACAACCACGATCCTTCACAGGAAGTTTACATCATGTCTGTTGTGCTCAAACTACACGGGAGAAAAGTCTGTGATGAGATTGCTGGGAAGTCAGTTAATATGCTAGATTTCTTTCTTTAAAAACTTCATTTATTGAGAAGAGTGAACTTATTCATTGAGCTCATCATTTCAAGTCAAAGATCTTAGGAACAACTTGTGCCTCTAAGCTCAGCCATGGTCTGAAATTAAAAAATAGACATTTTAAATTGAATTAATGGGAAATTAAGAAAATTTGCATATTCCCATGAAATGAAAAGAAAGTCTTCCCAGTTTCAATCATGTGTCCTTGTGGTAATTTAACTCTTGATATAGGCCAAATGTGTGAAAAAAAATAATATCTTATATCAATATCTTTTCTCTTTCATGACTCACCCTGCACTTACTAATTTTGCATCCAGTGCATTCTCATGCGGAACTTATAGTGCCCTGACCTCCGTTTCACTGGGTCTGTAAGCTAACACAAAAAGATTAGTTCCCTCCACCAAATTCCTGTATGCTGATTTTTTCTTACATTGAACTGGTCCACGCTATAATATCGTCAAACAGAGAGAAAAGTGATTTCATTTAGCAGAAACGAGGGCAGATAAGAGGCCAAATGCAGATAACGCTTGCTGAAAGGATGAATCCAATAAACCCACTCACTGAGGCTCCTTGAGGTAACTAATGTCACAGAGTCACATTTGAATGCAAATCCCAGACATTACGATTACTTCAGGAAGGGAAAAAAAATTGGTTTGAAACAAACCTGCCCTTTTAATTAAATTCAAAGTCGGGGCAAGGTGGTTTCAACTCGTCGCAGTGAGTGTTCAGTGATAAGAAAGCACCCGAGCAGCAGCGAGCTCCTGTCAATATCATGGGAGCACCCATTATACCAAGCAGGGGAGTACTCAAGTCTTGGTGCGTGGTTGAAATTGAGGCTACAATTTTGTTCAAGTGCTCCTCTCCTTCACTTGAGAGATTTGAGCTCTGAAAAAGACAAGTTGTAAAAGCAACAATCTGGTTTCAGGCGTTAAAAGGAGCCCAGAATAGCATGTTTGTGCTGAACTATCAAAGATAACTGTCAACGTTCTCTCCCTATTTGCAGTCAACACCTGCAGTCCTAAGTGTTCGAAAAGAACAGCGTCCCTCTGAGAAAGCTTAGATTTAAACTTTTCATTTGCTCGCATTATACAAAATTGAATTACATTTCAGATTTAACTGTCGTCACAAATTAGAAGGGGTTTTTTCTAAGTATATTTAATTAACTGTCTGAGCTGTCTGAGAGGCTTGGAATAAATCACATCGTATCATGAAGAAGTGTCTGATTTACCCGCTAATCAGCAAATAGATTTTAGCCTGCATGGATTTTCTCAGGTATCTCAGTAATTCCAGCAAGACTTGTAAATTATAAATCAACACCAATATGCCTCATTCATCTGAAGCATGCTCTCTGAGTGCAGATGAATAACTTCCATGAAAAGTTTAACCAGACACTATTGATTTGCAGTGCATCTGATACATAGGAGAAGGAATTTTTATCAGATTTAAATCAATGTCTTTTTAACAGTCCCTTTATATTGTTTCATATTGAATTGAAAAGGACAGTGAAGGCTATCTCTATTATGCATGCGGTATGAATATCAGAGGGTCTGCAAACCTGCAAGAAATATTAAAATTGCAAAATGGAATACCCAGACAAGCACACAAATGTATGAGTGGCTTTGAAGCCTAAAGCAAGTCTTTGGAACCTGAACAAATGTTAATTATAAAAGTCTAAAATAGATTGATAAGTTCTGCAATCACTGTAGACTTATGTGAAATAGACGGCAAATGATGATCCTGGATTATGTTTTGTTTCAATAAGATAAGATAAATAGACTTTAATAATGCTTAATGAAATTATTGTGCCAGCTTGCTCCAAGATTAGCAGAACAATATGCAATAGAGAACAATAAAATGAAAGAGTATTAATTATAAAATATATATGGAAAATAAAAACATGAAGTGGATACAGAGTAAATGCAGAACCAGTGCCAATAGAAATAGCCATATAAATGAAAATAAGTTTTATGAAACATTAAACTAATACAAAATTGGCAATACAAATGATAATTACAATGAAAGTAATACTGCACGTGAATAGTTGGTTATAGATATTGTGGAATCATTGCATTGAAAACCTTTTCACCTCACTTTTGAATGTCGATATTGTCGGACTCATCCTCAGGATTTGCAGTGGGAACGTGAAAATAAAAGCTACAACCTGTCAACGTGAATATTCATCTCATTCTGTAAATTATACTGTGTTTAAGAATGAGGCAAACCTCTTGAATATATATTTCCTCCTTCCCTCAAGATAGTGTGAGTCCACTGTGAGTTGATGAGAGGAGCAATGAAAACCTCATCTCATGTTATACTTATAACAAGTGACTTTAGAATACTTGTCCTTGAAGGCGTCAATATCTGCAAATGAACACTGCATAATCATTTTAACTGCAAAAGCACAGACTAACATGGGATTTAATCAGAGAGCAATGCTGCTAATACTATTGATACGTCCTACTAACAGATAAACCTGTCACTCTTTAATGCCCCAAACAATTCCTCATGTTTCTCTTTCTGTCTCTGTTCTCAGCTGGGACCACGTATATCTTTGGGAAAGGGGGCGCTCTCATCACTTTCACCTGGGCTCCCAATGAGCGGCCGAGCACCCGAGCCGACCGGTTGGCTGTGGGCTTCAGCTCCCAGCAGAAGGACGCCATCTTAGTGCGAGTGGAGAGCACCCATGGGCTCGGAGACTATCTTCAGCTGCATATAGTAAGGATGGGAAGCAGAGTTTGAGGCTTTAAGATTAAAAGCAACACCCGGAGATAGGTGGGGCATCACGGAACAGTTTGGAACAGGAAAAAAAAAACACAAAGAAGGTTAAAAATGTCATTCATGTGATTTATAAGACAATCAGGTGGATATTTCTGCACTTTCTGTTTCTGGTTTCAAAATCATACATTTCCAAAATTTGGGGTAAATACACAATAATCTGTTACTGATTTACAGATCATTTTATCATATATTTTAGTTTCTTTCATGTGCATGAACAAAACAACAGACTTATACCAACTGCATCCACAAGCTTCAATTCAACCTTCTCTGAAGGATGAGGCACACATTGTCCTTAATAGCATTTACATTTATTTGCATTGGCTAAGAAAGTAGCATTCATTGTCTTTTTTATTGGAATCTGTAGCATGTTACTTTGTGAATAAAGACTAGTTCATAGTTAACATCAGTGAAACTGTGGAAATGAGTCCACGCTCTCTGCAAACACAGAAAGAAGCTGCAACAAGCACTGGAACATTTAAGTGGATTAAAAATGAGCACATCATCAAATAAGACATACGCTTCTTCACTTGATATTAATGTGGCTCTGTAGCAGACAATCATGAAAGTATTTCTGGGAGCAATTAAGTAGACGTTGTATAACCTGAGAAAGGGGAGAGAAAAATGCAACGCTGTTGTTTTATCAGAAATGATGAGGATGTCACCGTCTCTTCCCTTGATATGTTGATGAAGGCACAAAAACTGATTTCACATGAGCAAAAGAAAAAGGCCATCTGGTTGACTACTGCTGCTACGATCTTTTATTAAATGAAGAGGAAAAGAAATAAATATGAATATACATCTAATGGTCTATTTTTAAATTCAGGTTTTTACAGCTTGTTTGCTGACTGATGCCATTTGAGTCCAAATAGGGAGATAACAGTAATAGATAAATAATGACCTGGAGAAGCAGCTACAATAGAGCAGAAGTCAGTGGAGTCACAGAGTGAGTGAGTGAGTGTGTGTGTGTGTGTGTGTGTGTGTGTGTGTGTGTGTGTGTGTGTGTGTGTGTGTGTGTTGGTGAGATAAAGTGACTCCTCAGCAGCTGCCAGCGACCGTCTTTTCTGGAGGGAAATCAGCCTTTTCAGCTTGAAGCCACAGGACAGATGTGGCACGATGAAAAGCTGAGGCGAGATCTGTCAAACGTCTGTGAGCAGTGTAATAATCAAAATCACACCTGTTGTCAAAGCCCGGGACCAGAATCAGAACTGGAGTGGGACTCTTACGCAGGACTCACACGTACGCATCAAATCACATTAATCAATTGATCAAACTTTCCTTTATAGCACCTTTAATACAGGTTAGTGCATTGTTTTACTATTGACTGATGTCTTAAGAATATTCATTGAGAACACAAGAATTAGAGTCACTTAATAGATTTAGTTTAAAAACAATAATTAGAATTATGTGAAAAATAATGATAAATAATAATGTGTTCATGCAAAAGAGGAGACAGAGGCAGCTTATGAACCTGGTGTGTGTTTATCTGGTTGTGGATCTTATTTCCTATGTACTTTTACTTTTGCATTGTGTTGACAGCTAGCATGGGTATTTTGTATCTGTGTCTGTGCTTTGAGAGTTTACACTGTCTCCACATGTTGGCCACAAACATCTTCCCCCGGATGTTTTTCAGAACTGTCTCATGTAAATTGCATTTCCATTTTTAGTTTCCATTTAAGTGTGAAACTGACCTCGCCAGCTGTGGCCTGTTGCTAGTAAATGCATAGACTGCTGCCTGCGCACAGAGCAAGCTGAAAATATTTTTTTTCTAGGATCTGCCAAGTCCTTGCACCCTGACAGATTGCTTAGTTTGACACCTTACTACTGCTCAGCGGAGGGGAATCAAAAGGAGTTCAGAGGGTGTTGAGGTTGTCTTTATTTTAAGCTTCATAATCACACCTTCTTGTTTTATAGGGACCATCTCTGCCAGTTCACATAATTTATTTATATCTGTCATTAATTACACATTTTACCTCATTCAGTGTCTAACACCTCCAATTCCACGGCCTAAAGTTTCGAAACCAGTAACGCACGCAAAACACTTATAAATACTACTGCCTCTACCATGTTTGCACCTGTTATCATTTGCGCAATTATGTTTAGTAGATCCCCCGCAAAACACCCGACAACCAAACGTGCAATCTGTTAAATTGCACACGCAATTTAGCACACTTTATTTGGGATCTTAGTAAATCAGGCCCTGAGATATTTTGAAGAAACAATCACAAAAAACTTGTTTGGTTATGTTCGACTGTGGATTGTCGTTGGTACAACTGCATAATATTTAAAGGGGATTTGTGGTTTCTCAAGAAGAGATTTGTTATCAGGACTTTGGATCCAGAAGAATGCCAGCTTATTTCCTAAAATAATTGTTTTTTTTCTTTATCCTCTCAGTATAATGACTTTTTTCTCACTAAATAACATCCTTTTTCTCAATAAATTAAGATTTATTTTGTGACATTAGGACTTTCTTTTGAATCACAACTTTATTCTCATGGTGTAACAAATTTCTTTTCAATTATGACTTTATTCTGCTGATATTATGACATTAGGGATTTGGGGGGGTTTAAGATGTGGTATCTTACAACAGAATTCACTTATTATTATCATCCTAACATGAAGCTTTCTATTCAAAACTAAAATATGAAGGGGGTCAAAACTTTCAATGCATTTGTAATAATCTCGATTAACAGGTACAAATGAAGCATGCATAGTCAAATCCTGACAACTCCATACACGACTCCATACTGCATTAAAATGGTGACATGGCCAACTGAAACTGCACCGCTAACTGAGGATTGCGCGCACAAGCTTCAAAGACCAATTAGGCTCTACAAAAGAGACAAAGCATCACCAAACTCACCAGGGAGTATATTAAAGAGACTGATTCTACTTTCAAATGGTCATGTTTTTAATGAGTGACTAAAAGATAAAACAGGATTCATTGTGTAGAATGATTAGAAATGCGGAAGAGGCATCGCTGCACAGCCGAGATATAAACTACAGAGGACCGGATGAAGATGTAAAGTTTTGAACGTGGATCTCTACGGTTCCATGAGTCGATTTCTTATGCATTTACATAATGCATCAGTAGGGCAAAATTATATTCGGGATAGGAAAGTCTTTCTTCATAAATATTCTGCCTTTTTCTATGCAGGGAGGGTAATGCTTCACACAAAACTCATGAATGTGTATATTTCAGTGCACATTGAAAGGCAAAGCTCAAAATGACTTCTTGCTCTTCTTCTCTGTGAGTTTTCTCTAGAAATGTATCGATAAGTTTGGTACAAATCTGATGATGCATGTGCACTTTTGTCACTAAATGTTGCAGAGATCAAATTAATTTTATCTGGTTATTTTCATTTAGAACTCATTGATTATATGCTGAGTATGAAGAGGATGAGGAGGGGAGATACCTTGTCACTGCTATAGGAGGAGGGATAGTAAGTGTCAGAATATCTGAGGCTATTGATGCATACTCCCATCTGCCTCTGAGGAGACGGCTTCAGTAGAGTCTCAAGGTTTCTAATACAGAGACAGATGTGCTGACTCTCTTAACAGAATCAGATCGGTCCAATCTAAGCTCTACATGCTTAAAAATGTATCAGGTGGCAGCAGAGCCTTATCACAGAGGAATCATCAGTTTCATAGTCCTCTTTTTTTTTCACCCCATCAAAGATAACTCCTTATAATAACACATCCTTATAATAATCAATCCTTTGCCTCTCAGATGAATCGGAGTAGGCTGCAGCTGAGACAAGATCTGAGATCTAACTGTAAAAGCTCCAGCGAACAGGGAGTACTTAAAATGAAAAGCTCTCTTCGACAGAGCGGATGTCAACGTAGTAGGTGGGAGACTGCGCTGCCTTTCATGAGGTTATGCCTGACTGGCTTTATATCCAAACACGTGAGTGCTAAGCAGCCTCTTGCAGAGAAAACGTGGAAAGTGGAAAGGCCAACTTTTGTTTACTGAAACTAAGATGCAGGAGTGTTGCTGTGCCAGCTGTCAAAAAGAGCTTTGGGGCTGTTCTGTAATTGCACTCAAAGACTCGAGTTAGCAAAATAGAAATGCTTGTGTTGGAGCCACACACAGCCGCTGGCTGACTCGTCTGGCCCCGGAGATGTTAATTGTTGTCCAGAGGACAACGGCTGAATTTGACCTGAGGCCACACAACCCTGTAGTTACTTAATGAAGACTCATCACTTCTGCTTCTTGGGCGGCATGATTAAAATTTGGACAAGTTAATAGCACTGCATGTACAGAATATAAGCAAACAAGGAATGTGACAGATATTTCTTACTCTGCGAACAAAATGGTGATAATATGGTGTCTTGACATAATTTTGTAAAATGTTGATTTCTACTAAACTAACACTGACTTTAATTAGCTCACAGGCTCCCAGTGAGTAGCTGTGAGTGGGTAGACATTTTTTCATAAAGGAGTTTAGTCTTTTTGACTTATGTGAATTTAATAATCAGCTGCAGTTTATGCATAATGAATCAGTCCTGGGTTCATGACAACTTTTAAGTGAATGGAGAATGATAAGAATCCAATGACCCTTTGACTGCTCTGACTGGAGGTTTCATAGTTTTACAGTGGAGGCTTTATAGAGCTCCTTTATAGAATAAAGTGAGTTGAAATTTGATTTGTCAAGCTTAATATTATATTATTAATGGGACGTTGAAGGTCTCTGAGGATACTTAACACTTCAGCACATAATGCTAATCATGTCAGCATTAATAAATGTTCAAATTTAAAAGGTTTCTGGAATGGTTTAACATGTGATTATAGGGAGTGAGAGCAAACTTGGAGACAGCTTTTACAGACAATGGCAATGGCCGACATCAAGCAGGCAAGAAAAGGTGTATTTCTTTCTACACATTAGAATTTCTGGTCTTTGAGACAATGCAATATTGGAGGTATGAGAAAGGGAACAATCATTACTGATATCAAATGGAGAATGACAAGGAGTACGCTCTGAAAGCGCAGACAGAAAATTCAAAACCAATACAAATCCAATGTGGAAGATATTTAGATTATATCTGAATGTCCAGTAAATAATAATATGCATGTTGTGTGCCATGCAGGACCAGCATTCTGCAGAATCTTTTTGCAATAAAACACCATAGCAGCCAATTTCTCTTTCAACCTTCTCTCTCCTCTCTCTGGTGTGATGTAGTGCAGCCAGCTGCTGGAGCCAAGGTAGTTTGATTTAAAACCCGCAGACTCTTGGTGCTCGATGGTTCACAGCTGAGAGACAAATGATACGAGGAGATACTACACAGCTTGAAAGTCATTAATGTTCTATAATGATAATGAAGTTATGCCCGTATGTAGACAACATGCTCTTGTGCACATGTGACATACTATACAACAGGTACTTGTTGCAAAATCATTTAACTGCCTGTTACATCCGTCCTTCTTTTATCAACACCGCTTCTACTCTGAGGGTCGCAGTATGGAGCTGGAGCCAATCACAGCTGACATTGGGCAAGATGCGGGAGGCTCCCTTGACAGACAGGCTGTCAATCACAATGCTGATACATGGATACAAACCATTGACATACACTTGGGCAATTTAGAGTCATTAATTAACCTAACCTGCATGAAGCTGAGGTACCCAGAGAAACACACAGGGAGAATATGCAAACTCCACACAGAAACATGCCTGTTTCATCAATCCATCTATCAATCCATCCATCCATTCATCCAATTATCCATTATCTATGCATTTATCCTTTGAGGGTCTCTGGGGGAGCTCAAGCCAATGCCTGTCACATAAAAACGGAATTGTAATTCAGTTTCAAAACTTTACTTCCACTCCATCCCTTCAGGATGACAGAATATGTTTTGTTTTATATTGTAAGATATGTTTTATTGACTTATATTGATCACAGTTAATAAGGTTATTGCAATCTAAAAGTAAAATCTAAAATGTGTCTTCCTGCAGAGCCATGTGCTGTTTCTCACAAATGTCTATTTTATCCATATTAGCATTGACAGAAGGCAGCAAATGCACAGAGGCCATGCAGACACTGAGACCCACGCAGTTTGTTTCCAATGTTTCCTATCAGTGCCACCCAAAGGCTGTCTTGAGAAGCAGCTTTGACCTTTGGGGAAGGTTGGCAGGAGCGAGGAAAGGCTGACAGGGAGAGAAGTTGGTCAACCAAAAGGGAAACAGCAGGATTCTGTCACGAGTGATTCACATCAGGAAACCTGGCCTGCTTCTGAGGGCGAGTGGAGCTGAATCCTAAAGAAAGAGCTAAACACAGTGTTGATGTCACAAAAGATTTGCTTCTACTGCTTAAAAAAAAGGTGTCTCACTCAACAGAGCTGACACTGGTGGAAATTCGTTTTGTGCACATTTAAAGTTTTTATGATGATACGTTTTCTGTGTCACATTTATTCATTGTTTGTCACCCACAGGATCAAGGGAAAATCGGTGTCATCTTCAATGTGGGGACAGATGACATCACCATCGACGAGCCTGCTGTCATAGTAAATGACGGCAAGTACCATGTTGTACGCTTCACACGCAGTGGTGGCAATGCCACTCTCCAGGTGGACAACCATCCAGTCATTGAGCGTTATCCGCCAGGTAAGACTAATGGGACAATGACGTATAGACAGATGGCTTTGAGCATCTGGATCAGTGAGAGATAATTGCATGTCTGCCTATCAAACACAAATCTTCCAATGTTCAGCTGTGAAATGCAAAAAAAACAACTGGATGTGCCCTTTTGCAAAAATAATTTAATAATCTGATATTAATACATCTGCCTCAGTTGATATCTAATTCTCATCAGCCTGTAAAAGCAAGGAAAGGAAATTTTGTTGAGGATATTCATATGTGGCAAAAGTGTGATTTTCTACACATTTCTACTTTTGCCCTAATTCTAATATAATAGTTATTTATTTGTTTTTGATATAGAACTTAAGGTCCAAAGACACAGTGTTATTATTAATTCAGCTGAGGAATTCTTGTTGACATTGATAACTCTGCAGTGATCTTGCACAGCCCACATATACATTCATCTCCTCACTGAACACCACAAGGTCGTATTTTTTTCATAAAAGTTCTATAATGTCCATATCGCATATGTTTTCCTTATGCTGCATTGACATACACATATACATAACACTTAATCAACTCACCTGGATGACAATAGAAGCATTACCTTATATAAGAATGCCTTTATTGTCATTGAACAGGGTGTACAAGGAAATTATAGTTATTATTATTATTATATTTTAGGCCTCATCATATGTATATACAGTCATGACCTATTAACTGTTTGCTAGATCTGCATAGGCACAAAGGCGAACTGACAAAAAGAGGCATACACATACATCCCATTCCCAATGTGAAAAAATACCAATCAACAATTCACCTCAGTCGGAGCATATGCACCAGCTGCCATCATAGGACGAAACCGAGTCCTCTGCCTCCAGCTGGTGCTGCAGGCTCACATGCACACACCACAGTTGTACATAGATCTAAACTGTGTGACAGTGATGGCCATTCATGGTGCATGGTTCACTCAGAGGTCAGTGAGGACAGAGGTGACAATTAGGAGTATATTTTTACTTTGAATGGACATCAAATAACATGAAATGAGCTGTAATAAACACTGACTACATTTACATAATCAGCAATATCCTGACCTTATTCTGAAAAGAGGGAAAAAAAGGAAAGGAAGGAAGGTATGTTAAACAATAAATAAATGAAAATGTAAAAATGTGTGTGCTGTGTGGTAGAAATCAATGGTTTATAAACAAATTACACAGAGAAATATTTTTAAAAGATACCAAACATACAAAATCATTAATACAGGTTATATATTCATATTTATATAATTATATTACAACCAGCTCCATATTAAAGCTCACAGAAAAAACATTGTGTAGGTAAGCGTCACTGTAACTGACATGCACTGCCATGTAGTGTGCCGCCTTCTCCATGCTTCTTTAATCCTAATCCTTTTTATCCATTCACACGATCCCATGTCCTCCAACATGGTTTGACACATATTTACATTTTTATTCATGTATGGATTAAACATGTTTACAGATTAAATGTTTGTAACAAACTGTGCATGGACCAAGGAACCTGTAGACATGAAGTCCTTTATAAAAAAGTGTCAACAAGAATTTTTTAAGTCCAAAGCTCATGGAAACCTTGTGGCTGGTGATTGAAAGAAATTATTTCTATGCTAGAAGGATTAAAGAGTATTCATGGAACTAATATGTACTGGGCTGCTATCTTCCAGAGGCTGAAAATTCAAGCTGTTGAAGTTTGTATGATGTATTTTCTGTAAAAGTTCACACTGGATGAATTACTCCTCTGTGTTTGCATGTGTTAAATAAGGAGCTTAAGTCCTGTCCCACTTGAGCGCAGCTTTTGTCCTATTAGCCCTGATTCCACAATGTAGTTTTGCGTATAAAAGATTTATTCATGCATATTTCCCCCCAAAAAAACAAATAAGGTATTGGGGTTAGAGCTAAATGTTTATTTACTATTTCATTACTCCCATTAGTCTTCGATAAGGACAATATATCAATATCTCATGGGAGCTGCAGTAAAAACAAAACAAATTGCATTTCATGCATATTTTTTTTAAATTACGTTGTGGAACAGAAGTGAGATGGCTAATAAACTGTATGTTTCTGCTTTAACTTGTTAATAATGTTTAGTTTATGGTTTGCTTAAAAAATAGCTAAATAACGCTAACTAGTGTAGCACATTATAAATAGCCTAAACGTTACTCTAATTAGCATTAACTCTGTTACTATGAATAACTAGATACGTAAAGTACAAGTTTCTTTTAACTCGCAGCTGGGTTAAAATTGACAACTTGTTAAACCTGTTAGTCATTCTAACACTGTTTCTAACCATGTGATCTTTCAGCTTGCAGACTTTAACCTTTAATCTGTCTCTCCAAATTCTTTGAAGGACACTATGATAATGAACGACTGGCTATTGCTAGACAAAGAATCCCATACAGACTTGGTCGGGTAGTTGACGAATGGCTACTCGATAAAGGTAAAAATTAATTGATTAATAATTAACCCTTGAGATAACTAGTGAATAACCATTCCCCATGAGAGGTGCAGTCCCAGAAGACAAGGGTGACAAGTTACCCTGATGTATGCTTCCATTTTAATTGGCACTTGGCTGCACTGTGGATTTCAATGACCACAGATATCATTTAAATTGGAATTCAAAGCAAAGGGGTATAGCAGACATGCCGTTTATTCTTTGTCATCCTTGCACCTTGTGGAAAAGCTGCACCTTAACAACATCTTAAACCAATTATCTAAAAACACATAACCCTTGTCTAACCCTCTATCGTCCCTCTTAACCACTGTGTGTAATTAGTTGCTGTGTGTAATTATTCCACTTAAAAATCATTAAAATGCTGTGTAACATTTACTTTAACACCTTAAGTTGACCATGTCTCGTTTTCTTAAACTGAACATTTTAAATCATGAACCAAATTTCTCCTCCACTCCAACCTTGTACTGTGTTACCTTTTACTACAAGACTACATCAGACTCACCACACTTTTCTGCTGCGACAAAACGGTGCTGACAGGCTGTAAAACTGGATCCCTGTTTGCACCCATTAACTTTGCTAATAAGTATTCTCCGGAAATTGGCCCATTACCGCGGGCCTCCTCCTCCGGTGTAACACCGCTTATCGGTGGAAGCTGCTGACTGTAGCGCTGTTAAATATCATTGCCCCTTTAAGGAGGTGAAACAATAGGAGCTGGGGGAACCCAGAGCAGAGCATTTTTTATTGGCCTAATGGTTGATGAAGTCAAGGAAGGGTGGAGTGTTTAGCTTTTATTGCCTTTTAGCGTGACACAGATTGTAGACTTCCTTTTTAATAATTTGCCCATCTCTGTCAAAGTTATAAGCATTACATCCCCTGCAGACCATTTGCTAACTTGATGATATTAAAAATTATCACTGTCAAAACATTTAAATAGGAACCTAAATAGATTTTTAAACCTCCTCTGATGATTTTAACCTGCATGTGTAAATTATAAATTTTAAACTTGCTTCTAATTAACATTGACATTTTAAAGTTCATATCTAAATCAAGTAAAATTTAAAACTATTAATGCTATAATTGATAAAGTCCACTTGGTTCAAATGATGTGCAAACTCTCCCATATGACTTCTCCATGTCTGCTCTATCGTTCTCTCCTTTTTTTCCACCTTTTTTCTCTCTCTATGTCTCTGTCGAACTTTAGGGAGACAGTTGACCATCTTTAACAGCCAGGCGGCCATTAAAATTGGCGGCCACGACAAGGGTCGGCCCTTCCAGGGTCAGATTTCAGGGCTGTATTACAACGGTCTCCAGGTGCTCAAACTGGCAGCAGAAAATGATCCAAGCATTCAGGTGGAGGGGAACCTGCGTCTTGTCGGGGACTCACTCTCTGTGCTGACCACTGACACAACGTCTGCCACCCCGCTGGCAGTCTCCGATATGTCCACCACCATCATGGAAACCACCACCACTATGGCCACCACTACCACCCGCAGGCAGCGATCACCCAGCTTGAGGGAGAGCATCTCAAAGGTCAGAAACTATAAAGGGATATTTGTTATATATATAGTACGTGTATGTGTGTGTGTGTGTGTGTGTGTGTGTGTGTGTGTGTGTGTGTGTGTGTGTGAGTCT